TTATTATACCAAATTTTATTTATATATTTTAACAATTTAAAAAAGTAGATTAGAGCTAAAAAAATGCAAAAACACAGACAAATTTGCCTATGTTGGCCTACAATCTAAGGGATAGTATATAGTCAACTTGTTTATAATTACCAAATATTATCCTACCTAACATTCTTAACTAACAACCCTTACAACCTCAACTATACACCTTTTATTGATAAATTTCCTATTGAAATTCCTATTCAACGCTCTATTCGAACTATATGCCAAGCTCACATTACAGGATTTGTAAATCAAGTTCATACAAACAGACAGTCAAATTCGTACAAGCAGACAGTTAAATTTGTACAGGTAGACAGTCAAATTCATATAAGCAGACAGTCAAATTCGTACAAGCAGACAGTCAAATTTGTACAAACTAACAATCAAATTTGTACAAAAATTGACAATTAAATTTGTACAAACTGATAATCAAATTCGTACAAGTTGACAACCAAATTCATACAAGTTTATAGATTTATTGACACCAGTAAATAAGGTATGAAAATATGTTTGCTATATAGTGAAAGAGCATTATAGATTGCTTGCATAGTTTCAGGTCATGGTCATACTTTTATAGGCATAAGATCTGGATGAAGTGCAAGATTCCCAGAATTATTATATATATGGGCCATTTTATTATTTTCAGTTCAAGTTTTTTCCTTGCTGGCACTCATATATATCCAAATATTTTTTAACATAAGTTAATCTATAGCAATTCTAAATTGAAACCCTTTTGTAATATATTTTATTATGATGTACACATTAGGTAAGCCTATTATTCAATAAATTACCAGCATGAGTATGAAGTCTAATTTTGTTCACTTTATCGTTTGTGTTTCAAAAGAATATATAATTAACCATAATCATTTAATCGTTCAATAAATTACCAGCGTGAGTATGAAGTCTAATTCTGTTCACTTTATTGTTTGTGTTTCAAGAGAATATATGATTAAACATAATAATTTAATCATTCAATAAATTACTAGGGTAATTATAATATTTAATTCTGTTTACTTTATTGTTTGTGTTTCAAGAAGATGTATGATCAACTATAATCATGTAATCATTCAATAAATTACCAAGGTAATTATGATGTTTAAGTCTGTTTACTTTATTATTTGTGTTTCAAGAAGATGTATGATTAACCGTAATTATTTAATCATTCAATAAATTACCAAAGTAATTATAATGTTTAATTCTGTTCACTTTATCATTTGTGTTTCAAGAGAATGTATGATTAACTGTAATCATTTAATTGTTTGATAAATTACTAGTAATAAGCATAATAGTTCCTTCAGCATCACTATCTGCAGAATTTTGATAATAAAATAAAAGCTCCATGTTCACTAACAATATCTGGCATTATACTATATGCTTTATTAATGTCATCAGTCTTTACAAATACTTGATACTGATTTTGAAATAAGTTCCTATATCTAATATATGTTTGCTTTGTTATAGGAATTTACTAGTCATTTCTTTTTGGGGTTTGTTTTACAATAATAAGTAAATTCGGTCCTAATGATTCAAAGATGAGACATCTATAATTATTAAAATTATAATAAGTGATCTATAAAATGTTAATAGATATAAATAATACATATAGCATATTACAGAAAATAAGCAATCCTAGTTGTTAAAACCAAAATTTTGATGAAGGTTATATTTTACTAATAAAATTGGATCTGAATATAAGTAACATCTTCACTTTGGCTTAAAAAAGGTTTCATCTTTTGCAACATTTTGATAATAAATTCAATTTAATTTTACATCATTTATACAGTTTAGAGTACTTTTTAAAAAAATAAAAACCAACTATAATAAAGTAAAAAAAAACATATAGAAGGTTTCATTAGAGTTGTAGGACTCCATAGTCAAAAATAAGCTCTAATTCTCGTCCATTTAAAAAAATTAGCTTTGTAATAAGTTAATTTTATTGGGTTTTGAGAAGTTATTGCTATACTAACTTTTTTAAACAGACAAGAATTAGATCTTATTTTTGGCTATGAAGTCCTACAGCTTTAATGAAACCTTCTATATGTTTTTTTTTTACTTTATTGTGGCTGGTTTTTATTTTTTAAAAAAGTACTCTAAACTATAAAATTAAATTGAATATATTAGCCAATCAGACAAACTTCTGCCTATGAACTTTATCATATGTAGGGATATGATCCGATACTCAGATTAGAGATTTTACTCGGACTGAAATTCTTAGAAAACTTTCTTTCTATTGTCATTCATATGTAATCATCGGCCAATCAAATTACTTTTTATGCAAAGTCATTCAATAGCATAATCAGGGTTGTTATTAGTAACTTACCGTGGTAAGTTACCATGGTAAATTACTTTAAGTTATCACAAATACTTATTTGAAAGTCTGTACATTATTAGAAAATTTCATAATGATAGGTAATTTACAGTGAAATTAATGGATATGAATTACAGAGACTTTCAGAATAAAGCATAAATTACTTCTACAGTAACTTACCAGTAACCTATATTTGTCCTTTTCAAGTTTGATTTCATAATAATAACAATACTGATACTATATGTCCATTAGCAACATTCATTTTTCATCAGCATTATATGTCCTATCAGTGTTACCTATTTGCAGATTTTAAATAATAAATAAAAGTTTATGCTCATCATCCTTAATAATACCTAGCATTATAAGTTCTATCAGTGTCACACGTTTTTTCAAGTTCAATTTTATGATAACAATATCTGGTATTATATGTTCCATTAGTGGCACTTATCTTTAGATTTGATAATAAATAAATGCCCTATATTCATCTTTTTCAACTCAAGTTCTATGATAATAACAATATTTCGCATTATATGTTCTATCTGTGGTACCTATCTTCAGATTTTTGACAATAAATGAATGCCTTAATAAAAATATCTGGCATTATATTTTTTTCAGCACCAATTCTTTATTAGTCTTAGATTTATTGATTTAAATAATACAATGTTGTGGATCATTTTTTTAGCAATTAGATTGTTAATACTAGTATATAGTTACATATAAGCATATCGATATACATATAAATAAACTAGGAATCAGAAACTGATATAAGTCTGAAGCTAAAGAATAAAATTAATATTATCTCATAGTCAGAAGTTTGTCTGATTGGCTAATAAATTCAATTTAGTTTTACATTATTTATACAGTTTGGAGTACTTTTTAAAAAACAAAAACTAATTATCATTAAATAAAAAAAAGAAGCCATATAGAAGATTTCATTAAAGTTGTAGGACTTCATAGCCAAAAATTAGATCTAATTCTCATTCATTTAAAAAGTTGGTATAGCAATAACTTCTCAAAACCTGATAAAATCAACTTATTATTAAGCTAATTTGTTTTTAAACAGGTAAGAATTAGATCTTATTTTTGACTATGAAGTCCTACAACTCTAATAAAACCTTTTATAAGCTTTTTTTTTTACTTTGTTATGATTGTTTTCGTTTTTTTAAAAGTATTCTAAACTGTATAAATAATGTAAATTCAATTGAATTTATTAGCCATTGGACAAACCTCTGCCTATAAAATATTATTTGTGCTAATTATTATATGTATGATAAAATCAGTACTAAATCAGATAAATTATGTGATATTTTTATTTATAGTGCATATCATGTAATTGGACAGACAAAAAATTCAAAATTACATTTTTGATATTTTAATATCAAGTACATCAAAAATGTAACTTTTGTATCACTATGCATAGAATTTAAGAGTTCTCCGCTTCTCTCCGGACAATAATATCATGTAATTGTTATGATAAATATTACTATATTATTTATATTATATGTATAACATTTATAGTTTAGCATTTTACTAATGTCGAATAATTTTATTTTAAAAAAATTCATTATATTGCATTTAATTAGATATTGATAATTTCACTATTTAAACAATATTGAAAGTATGAAGAAGTATACCTTATCCATCCTTCACAATCTTCGTTTGTAACAATATTAAATGCATCATTCATTCTACTTAAAATTATTTTTCGATCTCTTAAATGATTTTTAGCAATGGAATTTTTAATTTTTGAAAAACAATTTTCAATCAGATTTAAAAAAGGGGAATAAGATAGTAGATATAAAATTTGGTGTGTAGTATCTTCAACAATTTCTTTAACTATATCTGATTTATGAAAATGAATATTATTCATTACTAAAAATTTCCTATTTAGAATAATTCTAAGAAGTTCGTCAATAAAGATGGCAAAAATTTCTGAATTTACTGAACCTAAAATAGACTTATAATGCAAAACCCCATTCTCATTAATTGCAGCAATAACAGAGATATTTTTCTCTCTGTTACTTATGACTTTACGAATAGCAGGCTGACCACGGTGCACACGACTCTTTAATTTTGAAAGATGTAAATTAAAGCCAGTTTCATCAATATAGACCATATTTCTATAAATGTTAATATTTTTATTATAGATCTTTTGTACATATTCTTTCCTTTTATGAATTGTTTTAGGAGTATTATGGCTGTCTGGTACAACTGTAAGTTGTTTCAAGGTAAAACCCATATTTGTTACATATTGTGCAATGATTCTATCACTTATCTAAAAATAAATATAGACAAAAGAAATTTATTAGTTTATATATAATATGTAAGATTAATTATAAAACAAAAATTAGCTTGGTTTAACATTAGAGCATGGTTAGTTCTAGCATTAGGAATAGTTTGGGTTATGCTAAAATTTTGCAAGAAATATTTGTTTTATATGAATGAAAATTTCCAATTTAATATGTATTATTGATAAGCTTGTCAATGAAGTGATATAGTGTTCATTATTGTGAGATCAGATAACTTTGCAAATCACATATATTGTTTTAGTTATAACCTTTTATGGTCATGTTCATTATAGTATTTGTTTCTTGTTGAATGCAGGTATTGTGAGTAAATCTATGATAGATGTTTCTTAACTGGTTATAGTAATTGTTTTCTTAAGATGGCAAATAACTAGTAGTAAAAAGTAGTTTATCATTTAATGTTTAGGATTATGCATATGAATAGTAAGCTAATATTATAATTGTGTGTATGAATGATAAGTGAAAGGGGTGGTAGGTGTGCTTAGTCAGGTTAAGGGCTATTTAAGAATCATTTTTCAGGTAAAAGTTGGTTATTCTTTTGTTCACTATCGCTCACCTTAGTGAAGGCTGGCTCTATCGGCTGTCCCTGCTCATCCATTGTTAAGTGGCTCTGCAACTTGAAATAGTGCAATGACTACAACAAACTTATAACACTGCAGTTCAAATAAGCTTGGCTTCAAGGCTGTATTAGCAGTGCAAGAATAATGCTTAATTAAGTGTACATTAGTATTATAGACTCGATCTTCTGTATATCACTATCTAATCTGCTAGTTCCTTTCTTAGAGTATGTTTTATTAACAAATTAATTTGTAATTGGTCCCATTACTGTTGAACTTTAGAGATAACAGTTTTGAAATCATTCGGACTAGAGTTCAAAGGTTTAAAGATATGGGATTATATTCAAGATAGTAACTTTAGTACAATTAGGAGCCTTCAGGATAGTGGACCTATTCCCATATGTTTTTTCTTTGTTTTATTAATAAAGTCTCTGATTAAGCAATAATAAATACAAGTAACTCTTGATATAAGAAATGGTCAATATAAGAAACTCTTGGCATAAGAAAGATTTTACAAGTTCCATTTGAAAATTTTAAGTCTTTGATATAAGAAGGATATGGGTTAGATCCAGTAACTTTTATATCAAGAGTCAGTTGTAATATTTTATCATTGATTTGTATATTATTTTCATATAACCATGATATACTTTTAGAGCTAACTGTACATATATAAATTGAAAGTATCAGTATATCTGAATATTCGGAAATTGATTTACTAATTTTTGTGCTAGATCTAAAATAGAAATCCATAATTCTTCTTTAATCACAGCTTCAAAAAATTCCTTATGTTGTTTATTTAAAATAGATCTTTTGTCACCACCTCGTGATTTAGAAGCAATTTGATTTTCTTGATCAAAAACTTCAATAATACTTTGTACAGTTGAAGCTGCTAATTGAAAATTAGCTGCAACCTCTCGAATTGGTAAACCTTTATTATTAACATTATCTATAATTTGGTTTTTTATTTGTAAAGAAATTTTTTGATATTTAGGTTTTCTTTTTTTATTTTGTTGAGACATTATTAGGACAAACATGTAAAAATTTTTTATATTTATATAAAACCTTTTTTACTATTTATTAAAAAAATTTTAATGAAAATTTTAAGAATTCTAATATGCTGTAATTAATAATATTAGGAGTTTTCAAAATTAAAATCAGAGAATATTATTTTATTTTCTGATTTATATTCAACATAATAAAAATACTATTAAAAAAATTCTACTTATTTTTAAAATACATCACTTATTTGTTAATTTTGCAACCCCTATTGGTAATCCAGTATAATTACTATGCAAGATGGTGGTTAACAAATACAGATCTTATCAAAATATTAATTATGTATATACATAGTCAATGAACATTAAAGAATTGTGATTAACATGTTTTTATAAATAACAGGCAATCTATACTAATATTTTGATACTGTGAAGATTTAATTGTCTGCTTTCTATATTTTGTGATTTCAATGATAGGTTCGGTATGCTCATTATTGCAAAAGTAGATAGGTAAGTTAGTGATTTGCAACAATAGGTGATTAATAATTTCAACAGTGGAACAGTTAATTTTAACAATAGGCATTGGTGATTTTAAAATTTGGTTAGCGATTTGCTCATTGAATAAGCGCTTTTAATATTTATTGATAGGTTAATTTTAATAGTGAATAAATTAGTAGTTTAAACAATAAGTTAATGATTTGAGCAATAATAAAGATTTTAATGAGTGGATTCGAGATTTTGTAATGTAAGTTCATAACTTAGCAGTAACTTCAACTGTGGGTGTTTGTTTTAGAAGTGTAGTGGCTTTGACGAGATGAGTAGTGATTTTAATAGTGGGTGAAAAATATACAAGATGCGACAATTATAATGACACTGACCAATTGGAAATTAGATTTTGGAGCCACATGCACTTTTTTCTCAACTCTATATACTTCATGATTTCATCACTTCGTTCTTGGTACTTCATGATTTCATCACTTTGTCCTTGGTACTTCATAATTTCATCACTTCATTTTTAGTACTTCGTGATTTCATCACTTCGTTTCTGGTATTCGTGATTTCATCACTTCATTCCTGGTATTCGTGATTTCATCACTTTGTTTCTGGTAAGAAATTGATTATTAAATTTCTTTTCTGGCATAACACTATACAATTGTTTGAAATTCATATTTTTGTGTAATCTGTATTATTCATACACATATTGCTTTACATCCATATTATCCAGATCACACATCTTAAAATTATTTATGCATCTATTCTAATCTTAATTTCCAACTAGAGTTCTGCATGGGCTGGGCTATCCATAGGGTATCCATAAACTGGTCCAATGTGGGCCAGGCCAGGCTTAGTTCAAAAATTTTGTTTTGAATAATTAAGTCCAATCTAAAGATCCATAGTTAGCCCATAATTAATCTGATTGTCCAAAATCATAAATCTCATCATTTTCTTTTTCATATAATATCGAAATTTTGAACCCAAGCTTAATTTAAAAATAAACTATTTACAGTTTGTGCTCTTGGAATCTATGGATTATACTATGTGATTATGAGCTAGGCTTGGATATATCCAATTAAATATAGATTTGTTCTGGACTTCATTCAGTCTGGCCATGCAGAACTCAAAACTATAGTCACAACTAGGTCACAACATTCATCTTAACTTATGGGTACAATATCCAGCCTAATTTAAGGTTAGAGTTTAAGTATACTTTAGTAATACCAGTCATTGTTATGTCATAAGCATGTGATCTTGTGCCTGTAGGAATTGCCTTAATTTATTACGCAGGGATTATTAGTATAGGATAGTATAATAGTAAATTTAAAAGTATGTAATCAGTTTAAGAGTATAGTAAGATGTGATTAATTAATGATGTAATAAAGGAGTCAAAATGTATATATATAAGTAAAACAAGATTAAATAAAGTGTGACAGCTTTTGTTTCAAGTAATCGATTGAACCAAATAAAGCAATATTTACTTTATTTTTCGATAATAAGTTGTTCACGCTTACCATTTGTTTAGCATTAGATACTAATTAACCTATATAAGAATGACCATATGAAGAGTAAATTATATTACGATACATTTCTGGTTTAAGCATAACTATGTCATGCAGTTATCTAATTTATTAAATAAGTTGTCAACCACATAACTAAATATATATTTATTATAAGCTTACCTATTGTGCACATCATAATAAAATATATTACCCATGTTGAAAAATATTTGAATATATATGAGTGCCAGCAAGGAAAAAACTTGAACTGAAAATAATAAAATGGCTCACATATATAATAATTCTGGGAATCTTGTACTTCATTCAGATCTTAAGTAATGCCTATAAAAGTATGACCATGACCTGAAACCATGCAAGCAATCTATAATATTTTCATACCTTATTCACTAGTGTCAATAAATCTATAAACTTGTACAAATTTGGTTGTCAATTTGTATGAATTTGGTTGTTAGTTTGTATGAATTTGATTGTCAATTTTTGTATGAATTTGATTGTTAGTTTGTATGAATTTGACAGTCTGCTTGTATGAATTTGACTGTCTGCTTGTACAAATTTGATTGTCTACCCATACGAATTTGACTGTCTGCTTGTACAAATTTGACTGTCTGTTTGTATAAACTTGATTTACAAATCCTGTAAGTTAGTAAATAGTTTAGCTGTTGTAGTTGTGATTGTGTAATGTCTAGTAGTAAGTTATTGTTAATAGTTTTAGATATTGTTTTTGTAATAATATAGGTAAGATTTGTTGGGTTAGAGCAAAGTAGCCAATGCAGTTGGTGTTCTGGTGCTTGGCAAGTAATGCAGTTGTTGTGCTGAAAGCTATCTGAGTATAGTTTATAAAGGCAATGTAGTGTTGATAGGATATTAAGTAGTGTTTTGATCTTGAATAATTTGCTTTGATTGAGTGAGAAATTGGTGTAGTTATTTGTTCATTTAGTATTGTTATTAAGATATAACCATGTTGTGTTCCAGTCAATTTGTGATGATAATGGAATAATGTTGCTCATGTAATATTGTAATAACTATATGGCAATTATATGTGCATTGCAGATGTTTTTAATAGCTCGTCTAGTCAGTTGTTCAATTATGTATTTTTCATATTTTAGAGTATATGAGGTGTTATATAGGTTATTGTATATGAAATCAAGGTATGCAGTAGAGTTGTAGTTTGTTGCTAGCTTATTAGCTTTATTATAAATATATTGTTACTATGTGCAGGTACTTTGTGAAAAGTAACTGAATGTTGATAGAATTGAATTAAATTGAATAGAGAGTGCCAGATAGGCCAGTTTGAATAAGATTATTGTTTATGTGCTGGGATTAGATAACTAGTAATTTTGCTAAATTTTGTGATGATTAATTGGGAGTCTGTGTATATTTGTATATTGCTGTTACATGGGCATATACAAATAGCAGATAATATTGCCATAAGTTCTGCTTTGTAAGATGATGGCCAAAGTTTAATATGGGAAAAGTATGATTGAAGTATTGTGTTGTTGTAGATTTGTACCCATCTGATGTTCATAGAACATCAGTCAGTAGTAAGGTTAGTAACTGATCCATCTGTATAGAATATGAAGTTAGTGTTCCTCTTATTGAAGTTAGCAATTTTCTGAAGTTTAATAAAGGAAGAATTAACTTGAAATAAGTTAAATATAGGTGTATTAGTAAGTGTAATAGTAGGTAATGATGAGATTGATAGGGGTAATCGTAAAGCAATAGAATAAATAAGGTCTAAGTAGTTTGCATTTAGATTGATTTCTTTTATATTGTTATGTTTTTTCTATTCTAAAAATTTTGTTGCAGAATTAGCTAGGATATTAAAAGTACAGTAATTCTGAATTCTGTTTGAGTTGTATATGCATTCTGTATACTGTATACAATTGATAGTTGGAAGTAGGTAAAGGCTGGTGTAGGAGAGGTAAAGGCTGATGTAGGAGAGGTTATGTTTGGTTAGCCAATGTGTGATTGAAATAATATTGTCATTAGTATTATATTTGCATACTTTTCTAATAATTATTTCTTGATAGTTATAGTCAAAAGTAATTAGCCATGGTTTGGATTTGGAGTCATAATGGCCTGTTGTGAATGACAAAGAATTAGAGCTAGGAAGGTTTAGTGATGAGTTTATTTGTCTAGTATGGTTGTTTGTAATAATTTTGTTTTCTAGTATAGTAAACCATTTAGGTTTTTATCCAGTTGAAATTTGTCCAAGTTTGGATGAGATGCGTATTTAATCCAAAAGTGTAGAGTTATTGAATAATGTAAGTTGTTCAAGATATAAAATGTATTTGTTATGTAACTGTTTTTTGAAGTTGTTATAATCAGGGTGTATATGTAAGAGAGTTTTAATTGGGGTGTATGGGTATGTTAGTATATAGGGTTGTATTGAGTAAGCAATAATTGTGAACTGCATGTGTTTAAAAAGTTGGATTATTTAAAATGTTGTAGTATGTTTATTGGCTCTATCTATGAGGGGTTTGGGGTGTTGAAGAATGTTAATAGTTGACCAAAGGTTGTTTTGAAGTTGTTGTAATCTTATTTGGATAGTAACTCCAAGTAGGTCTGTTTTGTTTAGTTGAAGAAGAAATTGCTAATATGATGTTGTAGCTATATGTTCTATACATTCTTGATTCCATATATGTTGTGGTTTAGCATTATACTATTGAAAGTGGTAACTGGAAGTTTGGATTTGTATTTGGCTACAGTAAGGTATTTTGACAGAATCTTATTATATGTGTTGTGAGATATGACTATATTATATATCTGATATTCAAAGATAGGTATAATAACATTATTGATAACATAACTAGTTTGTTTGTTTGTTATTTGTTTAGTTTGTATAATGTTAGTTAAT